TCGAAGGCTCCCACATACATTTTTCTCGGTTAAAGTTATCATCACAAAGGCTATAAATGTCTTGATATTGTCACACAGAAATTTATCATCTCAGGACATGTTTCCTTCATAGAAAACTATTTTCCCTATCAACATATCTCTACTCCTTTCCTACTGGTCGAAACTCCTCATCCCTCTCCTTCACTATTGATACCCATTCCTACTATTTCTCCTTCATCAACTCCTCCCACAAACAATCATCATCCCAGTACGTCTTCCTACTGTCCCCTCCACCCGAAATACAATTCAGCAACCCTCCACATCACCTACAGCATGCATACCACATGAGATCACTCACACAACTCCCCCTACTAATTCTCTCCACCCAAAACAATACCACATAACAACTAGATCACAAACTGGCTCTCTCAAACCTACCAAATTTCTTAACCTTCAACACATCACCAACAATGGCACACCAACCTCTCTTACTCAAGTCATGAATATATCTCATAGGCGTCAGGCTATGTCTGATGAATTCATGGCCCTTCAACAACAAGGGACTTGGTTACTTGTTCCTCCTCCTCCATGCCAACGCATTCTGGGATGCAAGTGGACATTTAAAGTCAAACATCATACAAGTGGATCCATTGCCAGCTACAAAGCTCATCTAGTGGCTCAAGGTTGCTCACAACAACAGGGTATTGACTACCAAAAGACTTTTAGTCTAGTAGCCAAATTTCCCACCATAAGGATGCGCATTGCCTTAGCCACCCACGAGATGTGGGAAATTTAACAGCTTGACATCTCCAATTCTTTTTTTCCTGGCAAACTTGATGATCTTGTCTACATGAAGCAAGCTCTGGGTTTCATTGACACTCAATATCCTCATCTTTTTTGTAAATTACAAAAAAGCTATCTATGGTCTAAAACAAGCTCCCCTACAATGGTATTCCACTTCATGTCAGCTTCTTCAAAAACAATAGTTCAGACCAGGCACTGCTAATCCATCACTCCTGATCTATCATCATAACATACAAAAATTTTCTTTATCTACGTTGATGATATTTTATCACAAGGAACTCCTCATCTGAGATTAACTCCCTGATTCACAACCTTAGCACTCAATTTAATCTAAAACAATTTGCTACCTTTATCATTTCCTCAGTTTACAAATTCAGCAAACATCCACTGGCTATCTCATACATCAATCAAAATATATTAATGATCTTCTAACCTTTACTGGTATGTTTCACTCCAAACATGTTCTTACCCCTCTTCCTACTCAACCTCATCACCACACAGACACACCCACCTCTTTATCCGAACTTCACGAGTACAGAGAACTTATTTGATTTCTTCAACATCTCATGGTCACTCCCCCGACATCATTTTTAGTGTCAACTTTCTCAGTCAACACAAGAATAATCCCAACCCTCTCCACTATCAACATCTCAAGAGGGTTCTTTGGTAACTCAAAGGAACCTCAAGCCACAGTTTACCCATACATACTAGACCTCTTATCATACAGGGCTGTGCAGATGCAGATTGGGTAGGCAATCACATGGATCGAAAATCCACTATGAGATGTTGCATCTACCTAAGACCAAATCTCATCTCTCTTGGTCAGCTAAAAAGCAACCCATGGTAGCAAAATCATCCATTGAGGCTGAATATCGGGCCCTAACCACCATCAAAACAAAAAATATTATGTATACGAGGACTCCTACAAGAACTCAACGAAAAATCACCACCCTCGACAACTATCTACAGTGATAACACTTTGAAAATCGCCCTAGCTCATAACTCAGTGTTCCATGCTCACACAAAATATATTGAAGCTGACTACCACTTCATCAGATATTACCTTAAAGTAGGTCACATCTCCCTTCGTCACATAATGACAGAAGATCAACTTTCCGATATAGTCACAAAATCACTTTCAATTGCTCACCATCAAATGCTTAACACCAAGCTGACGACTCGCTCAGCCGATCCTCACCTTGAAGGGGGGTAAACAGGGATCATACCCGCTATGATTGGTGGAGGCTACTTTGAGTGCCGCAGAGCTCCTCCTCACGGTTTGTGTCTTAGCCAATTAGTTTTAGATTAGGGATTTCTCATACTACTTTATGTTTATTCAGTATATGATGTATAAAGACTATTTGACCCATGGTCAAATAATTCTATAAATAAGAGTATTAATGCTTTGCAGTTGTGGCAAAGTGAATGAAATAAAATCCTTAGCTCTTTGAATTCTATAGTTCTCCTCCTTTCTCCCGTTCTCTTCTTTGCATCAAGTGTAACGTTCTTTCAATGCATTCCTCCACTTCAACCAACTGATCTGAATTCTACTAATAGCATCCCCATCTCTATTGGTTCTTTCAATGCATTCCTCCACTTCAACCAACTGACCTGAATTCTACTAATAGCATCCCCATCTCTATTGCCATCACTATGAACAATAGACCCGAGAAATCTAATAATCAAATAAATATAATAAAAGTAAAAAAAAAAATTATTACAAATTTATGATTTATATGATTAATATAAATATATAAAATTAATGAAAAATACTAATTATTTAATTTCTCCATTATTTCTATCCAAACACGGCCACACACATGCCTTTTTGTTTTTGGCTCGTTTATAAATTACACTCAAAACTTTCATCCATATTTCTCTCACTTAATGAATGATTCGAATTTGAACATTAGTTTTTGAACAAGTTTTTTGAACAACCCTATTTAAGTCAACGGTTGCCATAGGTCCAGCCCAGTGTTCAACTCTCAGGTTTCCATGCTGTCACCTGCCATGTACCCCTAGCATTGATGCTTGACCCCATATTAGAAAGTGGAATTAAACTAGTTACAAGTTTTTCTGGATCCTGTCCCTTAGCAGACTGCAAGCACAGAAAGGGAAATACTTAAAAGGGATATTTACATACATGCCACACAATTCTTATGTATTTGCATATATAACACCTAGAGTTTGATATTTACACTTGTAACACCTTCATGTCATAAACCTTTGCGTGAAAGGTGCATTTCACTTTTAATAGAGCTGACTTCAATATTTGTATAATTCTAATTTATAATAAGTTGAAGGACTGTTAAATTGATTTATAATTTTTTAGGTTATGCTTTATCTGTTGTATGATTTTATGTAAGTCCCTTGGAGTTTAGGATATATGATCATGGTGATGACTAATGAGGATTTAAATGTTTATTGCATCTTTATTTTGGGTCATTTATATACATAACACATAATTCTTATGCATTTACATATCTCACACCTAAACTTTTATATTAGCATACTTAGCACTCAAATTTTGTATCATATAAAAAATAACTTTATTACAACTTTTTAAAAGTGAAGTTCATATTTCATGCATAATTTAATACATCAATGTGCTACATATGTAAATATAAAAGTTTATGTGTGAGATACGTAAATACCTAAGACTTGTGGGCTACATTCAATTCATTACAAAAAAGGTTCTTAAATTTATCATCTTATAAAAAAATATTAAAACAAATATAAATTCTACAATAATGAAGATTACATTATAAAAAGAAAAATTATATATTAAATAAAATTGCAATAACAAAGCATATGAATTATCTATTGAAGATTCAGGCCTCGCAAGTGCAAGAAGTATGCCCCGAAAATAAAGAATTAATTAATTCTTTGTAAATTGCATGCATTAAAATTCCATTTATACCCCCAAAAAACCTCCAAAATCCTCCAATATCTTGCTTAGAATTACAAGTTTCTATTCATCCAATCATAAATACTTTAGAAACCAATCCTTCTACTTCCAACCCACCAACCATTACTTCTCACCCCAACTTGCGCACCGAGCCGTGGTAGAGAGTTAAACCGAAATTACTTCTAACTTCATACTATTTGAGGAAGCTATCTAGATATGATAATAATTATCCAATTTTTTAATAATGGTTTGAGAAATTTGCTCAACTCCTACTCTCTCTTCCATTGGAGGAAATATTTAGTTGATTATTCACTCAACCAATTAATGAAGTGGGTGGTTCTGAAGGTGAGAGTTAAGTCGTAATGAGGATCTTAGGGGCCATTTGGGATCGCTTTTGATTTTGATTTTTTTATTTTTTTTTATTTTGGTATGTTATAACGCGATTAGTTTAAAAATAAGTTCTAGGAGTTTTAAGTATTTTCAAAAATAAATTAATTTATTTTTTAATAAAAATAAAAAAAATGCAAAAAATGCATCAAAACAAACATTTTTTTTTATTTTTTAGTCTATCATCACTCATTTAAATTACAAGACCCTTAGTACTATTTATAAAATTATTCTTTATTAAAAATGGCAAAATGAACTTGAACAAATATAAATATGTCAAACAAGATCTAAATAACAAATGACATTTAAAACAACTAATAATTAAAGCCAAGATGATTAAGGTCACGTGATATATTAAATAATAATAGGGAAATTTGCATGCACACACCCAATTCCCATGTATTTTCTTTATTTGAAAATCCCAATTCCTATGTATTTACATATCTAATAGCTTACCGTCACTTTTTTTTACATTTATACCACCTAAATCTTTCATATCACATCGAAAATATCACCATTTTAACTTTTAAAAGTTGAAATACTCCTTTCATGCATAGGTAAGGTGGCATATATATAAAAATTAAAATTCAGGCGTAAATGTAAATCTTCCTCCTGATTTTTCTGTGGGGAAATTTTCGTACATACCACATATGTCTTAGGTATTTACATATCTAACACTAAAGCATTCATATTTACATGCATACCACTTAAATCCTACACATCACATCAAAAACACCACCATCATTATCTTTTTAGAAGTGAAATATACATTTTCATCAATAGATTTATGACGCCAATATATTATAATTGTAAATATCAAAATTTGGGTGTCTTAAATATGTTTAAATACAAAAAATTGTGTGTTATGTATGTAAATTTCTCTTATTTTTAACCTTTGATTTTTCTTTTATTTCTTTTGAAGGGCATCCTGCACTGATTGGGCGCCATCGTCCATTCCCTGTTACTCATCAAGCAGCAGAGAGGTGGCTACACCATATGCAGCAGGCATTAGATATTACCCCAAGCATTGACGCTGATTCAAAAATAAAAATGATGAATTTCTTCAGGTGATTTTCTTCTCTTCGGTTTAAAATTTTGGAAATTTCATATACATACCACATAATTCTTATATTCACACATCTAACTTGTTATTCTTATAATTACGTCAAACTCTATGCATGAACATGTTCATTTAACTTTGAAAAAGTTAATAATAGTGATATTTTTGATGTGATATGTTGCACATTTTGATGTGAAATACACCTTTTCATGCATAGGTTAAAGACATCAGGTGTTATTAGTGTAAACACCACAAACTCTGGGTGTCAGGCATGCAAATACGTAAGAATTGTGTGGTATGTATGTAAA